ACCGGCTAATCGCCTGCTTAAACGTTCGTGAAGGTATTCTGCGTTTTTAGGAATTCCCATTTGGTTCAGTGGCTAGGGGGCTCTTCAAGAGTGATTTCCGTCGAAACTACTCATGAGATGAATTGCATCTGTCACTCAGAATTACGGGATACTATAAAACAGATGACAAAATGAGAACGGGATCAGTCACAACCTTTGAAACTTTTGAAATATTTCGAGTTAGAGACAGAGCAGCGGCGCCACAGACCGATGCAAATTGCCTGGCCACCATTATCGAAAAAGTCGGCCGTTACAATAAACCCGATGGAGCGGTCACACTGATGGCTCGAAGTCATGTGTGATTCCGGCGTTACATTTCGTCTATTTTCGTTCTTTCCATATGGATGCCTGATTCCAGCTCTGACGTGGCGCTGCCCTTAGACCAGAATGGAACCTACACGTAATAATGTTGCCGTGTCTCTGGCCGGGATTCTCGGCTTAGATCATTCCAGCCGAGCATCACACACGGGTAGCTCGACCAGCCGGCAATACATCCCCGAATTCCAGAGATCTGGTGCTGTCACTGTAGAATTTAATTGGTTTAACCTCTATGTCCGTGATTGTAATTGGCTGGATTTAGTATCGTATTTTTTAAAAACTTGAGCAAGGTAAATCGGTGATCTGAAGACAACTGTATTTACACGAGCAGCTTAAGTCTTCACTCGTAGGACTTGAGTCGAGGGCCACGTATCATGGGATCCCAACGTTTTTGCTCCTTTGTACCCCTTGGGAGTTGGGGCACATGCTGTGTCGCTCGCTAACCCGGGGTGAGTGCGGAGCAAGGCTGAGGGTCCATTGCGGACAAGTCAGACGGTGAATAAGCGACGAAGGAGTCACAAAATGTAGTCCGAGGCCTCGGGCTACGTCTTCCTCGATCTGGTCAGTATTTTTCATTACTTCTAACATACGAATCTCTGGCTCTACGATGTGTATATATATGTATATATATATATATATATATATATATATATATATATATATATATATATATATATATATATATATATACGGTATTTTTAAGATGCTTCTGGCATAATGTAACTCATACATTGAAAACATAATGTTAAGCGATTTTTAAAAAATGGTAATATTTTTTAGATGAATTCGAAGTAAACAAAGTTTCATGTGACACATTTGTGTCAGTTGCTCTAGGCTTGTCAAGCTCTCTAAATTTATGAAATATGGGCGAATAATAATGGAAGAGACAGTTATAGGCAATAACAAAGGCAATGCAAACTGGTTCGTGCATGATATAAGGTTCAAAGAAAAATACACCAAAAGGGGTTTACAAAGAATGAAATTAATGAAATTAAGTTAGTGGACCTAAATAAATTGCCGTTAAACTGCGACCAAAAAATCGTGAAATTCCTATAATCATAAAATTTGTAGAGTAAATTTAGCCATTATATACCACCAGTTTATATGAAATGAAATAGCAGTGTACACTATTAACACCAAACATCAGAAAGAACAAACAATTAGGAATAAATAATGAGATAATATTCATGTTAAACTGCTTCCAAAGAGAATCTCTCCTAGGCCCAGATTTGTAGCACTCAGTAAAGTGTATTCATTAATGTGTAATCCTATTTTAACCATAGTGAGCCGTGTAAAAAAAAAAAAAAAAAAACACTCTTGCCTGTTAATGACCTTGGTGTGCCAGAGTTTGTGATTTCTGAACATTTATAAAAGATTTACGTACACTTTATAAAACATCCATGTGCAGAGATTATATGAATATTCGCTTCTTGCTATGAATAACATCAATAATTGACCAGGGTGAATTCATGAACTGTACTGATTTTATATTATTATCTGAGGGAGGAGCGCCTGCTTTATCGACTTCTCTAATTATCAGCTGTTTTTTTTTAAACGAGGATGTATGTTTTGAGGAGTTTTCTCACGACATTGTGGTCTACGGAAACCCAACACCACTTTTTATTATGTGGGGCTTACGAATAGATGTGATTTCGTGGAGCGGAGATGCTACCACAGCCCTAAAGTTTTTACCATGCCTTTCGTTGAAGACCAGAAACCCTAGAAACTAACTTTACTAGAAGATTATATAATTCTATTATTTTTTTCTTTTATGATTCTATATGGTGATAGTCTTATGTATATATATATGTATATATATATTTTTTTTATTAGGAAAACTTCATTCTTCAAATTTTATTTAAACAAAGTCCTAGCCAAGTGCTTTCGTTTAGAGCTAAAGTTTTTGGTATTTTTCTCATATTATGCTTATTTTGCCTTCTTTTTCAAAATCATTCCGACGAATTCTGCAAGAAATTGTTCTCAACCAAAATCTTTCCACTTCCTTTACATTTTAAAATTAAGTATAAGTTTGCGGTTATTTGTTCTTCTGTTAAGGGGAATATATTGCAACAAATTTCAATAGATTCGAGATTGTTTAAATAAAAGTAGTTCGCTCATTTACTTTTATTACTGTGGAAAGATTTTCACACTTGAGTTTCGAAATCTTTGAATCTTTGTTTTAATACTTGATTTCCTCTTTCAAATATAGATTATATCATTATAACTGATTGCTGTATATACTTTAACCCAGTGGAAGTATGCATACTCTGAATCTGCAATGACACTTGATCAATGAATACATTAATCGAATGATGGTCTTTGGCCGACGATACATATTTTATCACATTCATGACCTTTTGCGGATCTTTAACCCAGTGATGATTTTGAGCCAGGTATTTATCTCCGCTTTGTCACAGGTGAATCCTTTCCTTTCGACTTTCCCGCTGAGACTGTGTACTTATCATTCGACATCTGTGTTTCGCAGTACATGCAGTCTACGTAACCTTGATTCCATCTCATGTACTCAGTCTTTCGCTTTTATATTCGCTTCTTACACATTATTTGATTACCAAAACCATTCGTTTGACTATGATACTAATTTGATGATGTGACGATTTGTGATATCTGAAGGAATTGGTGCACTTGGAGATTTAGGATTTATTAAGAGCTCGTTTTTTGTTATTATAGAGGATTTGAGTGGCGGTTTCAATTACTAGCGGGATGCTGTTTTCTCTGTTTGAAGCGTAGGAATCGTAAGTGTGCGTTTGTAACCCATTAGGTTCACAAAGCAGCGTAGCCCCAAACCCGCACACGTCACACAACAACCAGGCTGGAGCAAGCCATGTCCGAAGTGGCAGACAGTATTCATCTCGTGGCTCACCTGCTTAAACAGCAAACCCAGGCTCCGCTTGACCCTGATTTCCCAAACACATTTCTGGTTTAATTAGTTTGAAACCTACAGTGAGCAGTTAGTAAGCCACGCCACTCACTGACCTTCACTACTACTAGGTTTTGTGCTTTTCATATCTTTTCATACGTCTTGCGATCCCATTGGCTGGCTAATGCAGGTAATGCGAGGCTGTAGATGAAATTCTCAAGGTGGTCCGATTGACTCCCTAGTCAGCGGAAAGTCATTAGTTAGCCTGACTCCTTGTCCGCTTTGTGTGTAGCGTCCAAAATTTCCAGATCCCGGTTATTAAATAGGTCCGGAATGTGCAAGGAGAACTGAAATGTTCCAGGATGCAGGAGATTAACGTGGATGAGGTGAGGTATGCCACGAGGTTCCTGCTGTCGGCCACTGAAGATGTGTCTGCGGACTTGGCATGATCCAGCTTGGTTGGTGTGTAATGTGTGCAGGTTAGGAGCCAGGGTTGTTACAGACGGCCGATGATTACTGTGATATGGCAAGCTCCTTGGCTCCGAATTCTACACACAGGCACAGCTTAAAGTTTAAAGTTTAAAGCTTTGAAATGTGAGTATTGAGGGGATTATAATAATACTTAGTCCAATTGACTTTTATACGATCTTTAAATCGATTTTCTCGTCCATTTTTGTCGGTCTGTTCCTGCTCCATAAATGAATATCAGCAGAATCAGAAAATAAGAGAGAGAAAATTACTCATTCAGAAAACCCACTCACTCACTCAAAAAAATAAAAAAATAAAACATCTTCATTAGCTTCTTCCGGGAGTCGATTCAACTTTATATGAATAGCTTGCTTGGCCTCCTTACAATCCTCCCTCACATAACATCCACTTCGATCATAATGCTCATCTCGTTAACGTACCGTAAACATGCCAAAGGTAGGGGTGGGGTGGGGGGGGGAGGGTACAAGGGCAGAACAACAAAAAGAAGGGCGGGGGAGTTCTGTGTAGTGTTCGAAAGTTCTCTACTTCGATGACGTCATACGGACTTAACCAACCAGTCTCTACTTTTCGTGCATCAAATTCATGTAGAATTAGAAAGTAAAGTGTGGCCAGATATGTCAGTATTCAGTTAATTGTCCAGTTATGATGGTAATGTTGACGAGATAGTAATAATAATAACAGTGACAGTAAGGGTAACCATAATGATAATAATAGTTTATACTATGATGATGATGATAATAATGATAGTAATAGTAATGATGGTGAGGATGATGACGACGATAAGGACGATGGTAATAGTAATGATAATGTTAATAATATTGATATTAATAATTATAATAATAATAATAATAATAATAATAATAATAATAATAATAGTAATAATAATAATAATAACAATAATAACACTATGGATAATAATAATAACAATAATAATAATTATTATTATTATTACTGATATTATTATCATTATTATTCTTATCATTATTACTATCATTATCATCATCATCATCAACATCATCACCATCATCATCCCTAAAACCAGAACAGCCTGCGATTCCTCACCACGATCGAGATGGACAAGTGCGTCGGTCCAACCATCGGGGTAGTGGTGGTGGAGACGCCGCGTGAGCTTCCCGGGGAGGTCACGTTGGGAAGAGAGTCGTCGGTCGGTGCAGCAGTCGCCGTGGCATTCGCAGCGTTCCCGGTGGTACTCGTAGTCGTCGTGGTGGTGGTGGAGGTCGTACTAGAGGGGGCGGAACACGGGGGGATGGGAGGTCTAGTGGTACGGGGCATCTGGGAGACGGGGGGTAGGGTCTGCTCCTCGACGTGAATGGCGACGGCTTCCGTATCCTGGCAGGAGGGGGAAGTCGGGGGCCGGTTGCTGATGTACCTCTTCTTGGTGCTGTTGCCGTACGCGTTGCTGAGGAGGATCTCGTAATGGCCGGTAGGGGGCGTGTCTTGGAACTTGAAGTAACCTGAGGAGAATTGGCGGAAAATACGAAAAGGATTAAAACGGGATAACGTGAATGTAGAGTAAAAAAAAAAAGAAATTAAAGCAGATATACACATGAAACAGATAGATTGCAAAGAAAGTTTATATACATAATAAAAAAAAGTTTATGGACAGATGAGAAACCCTTCTAGAATTCA